GCACTTTTACCACTGAAGTACCTTTGAGGCCTGTACTACTTACCTGTGATTTGTTATTCCCATCTTACCTCCCACATCTTGGGCTAATTTTGAGGCCCCAAGAGGATAATTTCATGCTGGAGAAGTCCCACAACAGAATAACCTTGTCTTTTTTCCCATTTCCATTTATATAAAACCTTATTTGTCTCGTAGTAGTTGGCTGGGTTTGTGTATATTCTTAACCTTTTTCCATCCTTTTCCATGAAAGGTCTCTGGCCTCTGTTCCTAAAGAAGGTAATTTCTTTCATTATCCTCCCATTGCTTCTATATAACAGAAAAGGATTGTAGATGTTACTGAGTAAGCCAAACCTCCTAATTTCACAGATTCAGCACCGTGATCTCAGAAGTAAAAGCTAACTTGCTCAAGATGATATATAAAGTGAATAGAAGAGCTTGGAATATAGCCTAGAGCTTGAGGATTCACTTCTAGGAATCTTAACTAATTTTCTATGTTTTATATAAAGTGTGTTTTCCAGCTGTTTGGAGTCAGAAAATATTCATTATTCAAACTCCTTTCCCATAAACCCAGTTCGTATTTGGCATGCTCAACAGATCTTATTTCCTGTGTATGAGGAACTTGTTAGAACTCCAGAGAAGTGCTCAAAGTGAAAGGAGGTAATCACGGGACTCAGACAGGCCCCCAAGAGTGGTTACTTCTGACATATTTATTAATGATTAATGTGACTTTTATTATCTACAGACACCCTGGATGATTAGCTAAGAAAACAACCCATAATGTAGGCTCTGCTATCTAAAGTTTCTTCCTTGCTGGTTGAGGGCTAGAGAGATGCTCTTAGGAAGCATATTATTTTGGCTCATGAATTGCTTATTTTTAAAGGGATATTTTTCTAGTTGTAGAAAATATATGGAAAGTTTATGTAGAAAACTACATATTATTGTTGTAAATTACCATAAGTGCATATTTCATCCAGACAAAGGGGGAGTAATTGCTACAGTGTGTGATTTTCACTCAGTTTTTCACCTCTCCAAAGCATATTATATCTTGATATATTATATCTACCACAAATTTGCCCAAAAACCCCTTAATTATTATTATAGCTCACAATTATTTCATATTTATAAAATTACCCATTAACAGAACCAGTGCAGTTATATATTTATGAAATGCTCTCTAACCGAAATGAGTATATGCAGAAAGTCCCTAAAGTTGAACAAGACATAAATCTAATCCTTAAATTGGACTGGATAAATTACACGAAATCAATAAGTGAATATGTTAGAAGGTACAGGGGTAAATGCCATGGAAGATATAATAAAAATGTAGTTGGGATGTTAAATATGTAAATACCAACTGAAAATAGTCACAGATCATGGTCACAGAGAAACGTCTGGAAGAGGACACACATTTGAGCTGAGTTTTGAAGATTTTGACTATATGACATTTGAGGAAGGACTATATGGAGAAAATAGACAGGCTAATGTCGGGCTACACTAACTACAGAGATTTCAATATGGAGACATAGATTAAAATAAATTGTTAGTATTCACTAGATATATAATATATACTAGAGTCCCTTTTGCTGAACCTCTTTCCATACATTTTTTTTTGCTTTTTGTGTCACACCCGGCGATGCTCAGGGGTTACTCCTGGCTCTGCACTCAGGAGTTACTCCTGGTGGTGCTCAGGGAACCATATGGAATGCTGGGAGTTGAACCTGGGTTGGCCGCGTGCAAGGCAAACGCCCTATCCATTGTGCTATCTCTCCAGCCCCCATACATATGTTTATCTTTTGTTTGTATTATTTGGAGAGCTGTCCATGTAAGTTCTGTGCCTATTTAATTTTTTTAATATTTTGCTACCATTTTTATGAATATTTATATACTTTAGATATGGACACTATATAGAACATGAGGTTTAAAAATATTTCCTCCTAGAGGTGGCCTTTTAATTTTGCACATTTCCTTTTGTGATGCAGCTCCACTTATCTATTTTACTATTTTTGCTTTTGTTTTTTGCATAAAGTCCAAAAATTAATTGTGAAGACGATGCCAATGGCCTATGTTTTCTATGTTTTCTTTTAGGGTCTTAATTTTAGGACTTACATTTAAGTCTTCAATCAATTTTGACTAAAGTTTGGTGTATACTTTAAGGTATGTATCCAATTTCTTTCTTTTTCATCTGTATACCCAGTTTTTCTAGTATTATTGAAGAGATTATTCTTTCCCTATTGTAAAATCTTTGCACATCTGTAAAAGGGTTTGTTAACTAATTTCATGACTGAAGAGATGGGTACGAGTTCCAGCACAAACAGGCAAAAATAATTAGTCAAATTTTTAGGAATGGGCTTGTATCCCTGGGCTGGAGCGATAGCACAGTGGATAGGCCGTTTGCCTTGCACGCAGCCAACATGGCCGACCTGAATTCGATTCCTCTGCCCCTCTCGGTGAGCCCTGCAAGCTACCGAGAGTATCTCGCCCGCACGGCAGAGCCTGGCAAGCTCCCCGTGACTATTCGATATGCCAAACACAGTAACAACAAAGTCTCCAATGGAGACGTTACTGGGCCCGCTGGAGCTAATCGATGAACAACGGGAGGACCGTGACCCCCAATCTTCTTGTATCCCTATGGCGTGTAGTTAGAAAATACTTGCAGCATTGTTCTTAGAATTACTTTAGATTTTTTTTGTGGTTCTTCACGAGTTTATGAAAATTTGCTCTATTTCTGTGAAAAACCTTATTAGAATTGAGACAGAGATTGCATTGAATTCATAGGTTAATTAGGGTAACATAGATATTTTAATAGCATTACATCTTCCAGTCCGTGACTATGGAATATCTTTCCATTCTTTGTCTTTGTAGAGTAGTTTTCCATTCTTTGTGTCTAATTCCATTCCTTTCAACAATGTTTTATAGTTTTCAATATACAGATATTCCACCTTCATGATTACATTCATTCCCACTTACTTTTTTCTCTTTGATGCTATTGTCAATGAGGTTATTATTTTTTCTGATGTTTTGAGTATATAAAAATGCAGTTGATTTTTGTGTCTTGATTTTGTGTCCTCACTTTTCTGAAATTATCTATAGTTATAGGTCAAAGATTTTTATGTATATCTGTACATTCATTATCTTATAACTAATTTTTTTCTGATTTGCATGAATTTTATTTATTTTTCTTGCCTAGTTGCTCAAGGATAGATAGGACTTCTAATACCATGCTAAATTTAAGTGGTAAGAATAGGCATCCTTGTCTTGTTCTTGATCTTAGAGGAAAAACTTTTAGCTTTCATCGTTGAGTATGATATTAACTGTGGGGTCTTCCTCAAATATAGCTGTTATTATGTTGAGATACATTACATCTAATCCTAATTTGTTGATACTATCTGTTGGGTGTGTGTGTAGGAGGGGGGAGACCTTGGGGCCTTACCCAATTGTGCTTAGGGATTGCTTCTGGCTCTGTGCTCAGGAATCACTTCTGGTGATTCTAGAGGAACAATATGTAATACCAGGGATTGAACATGGTTGGCTGCATGCAAGACAAATGTCTTAGTCCCTGTACTGTCTCTCCAGTCCCAATAGTGTTTGATCTCAGAGTTGTTTCCATTAGGAATTATCTATTCTTTTGCTTTATTTTCTTATAAATAACAAATGAGTGAGATCACCTGGGAGTTAGTTTTTCTTTTGACTCACTTCACTTAGCACAACTCCTTCCAGTTCTATCTGAGTTGTAGCAAACTGCATGATGTCATCTTTTCTCAGAGCTGAGCAGTATCCATTCTCTCCATACCACAATCTCCTCATCTGTTTGGCAGCATTTGTATTGTTTCAAGATTTTGACTGTTGTAAATAATGCTGCAGTGAGCACAGGTATACATATATCTTTTCAGATTATATTTTGTGTATTTTTGGGGTGAATGTCAAGGAGTGGAAGAGAAACATCAAAAGGAACCTCTATTCTTAATTTTTTGAGGAGTCTCAAAGCTGTTTTCCAAAGAGGCTGAATGAAGCAACAGTCCTACTAGCAGTAAACCTTGAGATAGAGTCAATAGAACTGTGATCTCAAGGTGCAGGGGTAGAGTATAGGATAAAGGTGGAGTGATACAGGCTGTTGGTGGGCGTGTTATAGCAGCAATTAACATATTTATATGTTATATAGGGGCTGAAGCAATAGCCAGCTGGGAGGGCATTTGCCTTGCACAAGGCCGACATGGGTTTGATTCCCAGCATCTCTTATGGTCCCCGAGCACTGCCAGGAGTAACTCTGAGTGCATGAGCCAGGAGTAACCCCTGTGCATCGCTGTGTGTGACCCCCCAAATAGCAAAAAAAAACCCCAATAAATAATGATGAAGGTTATTTTGTTAAAAATTATTTTAAAAAGGATAAAACAGCATTGTGGTCATAGAACTTGTCCTACAAAAGAGAGTGGGGTGGGTGTGTCCTGATGACTGTATATGCTTTGGGTGTTCTGCATGCTGTTTCCTGCTCTAGACATTCATCTTGTACTGCCTGCTACAATTATATATGAACTGGGAGAGCTGGGTTTGTTTCCAAGGCATAAGAAAATGTTCGACTCCTTTGTGCTCAGTCCTTAGTTTGGGATGAATGGAAAATCACCTCAAAAATATTTTCCTTGGGGTGTGATGATGGATTGTGTTAAGCATAAAACCCTATCACCAACATTGTTGTAAACTATGATGCTTAAAATAAAACTTTTAAAAATAATTAAAAAATAAAAAGTTTTCCTTCAGAATTGTTGTTAGAAAGATGGATCAAAGATGTGTGTCTCCCAGCAAGGTTGCAAGAGGCCACTGAGGTGAAGTCTGCCACTAATTCAGTTCCTAGAGTATCTGATCCTGCATTGGGCTCTTGTGCCTTATTTCAGTAATCTGAGAATAGAACTGTAAAGGGAATTTAGTGTTTTGATTAATAAGGAAGTAGATTTATTCTTTTAAAACACATATATTGATAATAATCATTCTTTCTTTTCCTATATATTTTCTTACAGCAACTAATGCAGTCAAAATCAGAAACCAATGGAACAACCATTAATGAGTTCATCCTTCTGGGTCTGGTGGAAACACCAGAGCTGTGGCCAGTTATTTTTGTCATCTTCTTCTTTGCCTACCTCCTCACAGTGGGAGGCAACCTAAGCATCCTTACTGCTGTGTTAGTGGAGCCCAAACTTCATACCCCTATGTACTTCTTCCTAGGAAACCTCTCAGTACTGGATGTTGGGTGCATCACTGTCACTATTCCCTCAATGTTGGGTCGTCTCTTGTCTCACAAGCGTGCAGTTTCTTATAGAGCCTGCCTCACACAAATCTTCTTTTTCCATCTTCTGGTTGGTGTGGACTGCTTCCTATTGACAGCCATGGCCTATGACCGATTCCTTGCCATCTGTCGACCTCTCACATACAGTACTCGCATGAGCCAGGTAGTTCAGAGGATATTGGTGGCTGCATCTTGGGCTTGTTCCTTTGCCAATGCACTGACTCATACTGTAGCCATTTCCACACTCAACTTCTGTGGTCCCAACGTGATTAACCACTTTTACTGTGATCTCCCACAGCTATTCCAACTCTCCTGCTCCAGTACTCAACTTAATGAGCTACTGCTCTTTGCTGTTGGTTTTATTATGGCAGGCACCCCCACAGTACTAATTGTTACCTCCTATGTCCACGTGGCAGCCGCAGTTCTACGAATTCGCTCGGTGGAGGGCAGGAAGAAAGCCTTCTCCACGTGTGGTTCTCATCTCACTGTGGTTGCTATCTTCTACGGTTCCGGCATCTTTAACTACATGCGACTAGGTTCAACCAAGCTTTCAGATAAGGATAAAGCTGTTGGAATTTTTAACACTGTCATTAATCCGATGCTGAATCCCATAATCTACAGCCTCAGGAACCCCGATGTGCAGGGCGCCCTCTGGCGGGTATTTACCGGGAGACGGTCAACGGCTTGAGATCTTGGGTGTGTCACATCGCCCTTGGCGCTCCAAGAGGAAATCTGAGTCCAGACACCAAAATCAATGCCCCAGAACAGCTTCTTTCTCACTAGCATGAGGCTTTATAAGGGCTAATGGTTACTGTTTCCTAAAAAAACCAATTCTAAGTAATAGAGGATAAATTCTTCTAGATTACCCCTTGACAAATGCTAACTTTATTCAATGTGTTTCCCTTTTTTTGTGTAGAAGTGAAATCTGGAAATTATTAAGGCTCACAAGTTCATGTCCATTCTTTGGCTAATTATAATCTGGGTTCCCTAAAATTTTGGAAGTTTTCCTGCAAACCCCATCGGCTACTGTGGGGTGGTGCTGGTGGTGTGTGCATATCATTTTCTAAAGTTCAACGGTGCATATCTATTTATAAACTATACATCTAGATATCAGGATTATTTTGTTTCATTAGGCTGCCATAAAACAAAACAACGGCTCATTTCTTTCTTATCACACAAAGATGCCAAAATATAGAGGGGGAGATTGTTTAATCATCTATTTTTTTAGTAGTTTTAGACAGTGTGATCCCTGTCACAGATGTGTTTTCAATACACTAGTACAAATATTTTAGCTTATGACCAAAATAAAATTTTCTTCATCTTTTGAAAAGTTAAGCATTAGCATAATTATGTCATAATAATATACAGTCTATAAAAGTATAAAGAAAACATAAGAAAACCAGTCTGTGATATTGATTTTAGTGCTATGTTTGGTAATTCATTGTATCATGTCTTGCTTTATGAATTTTAAATCCTTTTTGGGGGAGTAGGGGCTATTTGGGACAAGCCTGTGGTGTTTGGGGCTTACTCCTGACTCTGTGCTAGGGTATCACTCCTGGTGGTACTCAGTAGACATATATGATGCTGGAATTCAAACTGAGGGTGGCCACAGGCAAGGCAAGCACCTTAACTTTTGTATTATCTTTCTGACCCCTAAATGTAAACTTTTGTAGATTTTTAAAAATATTTATTTACTGTTTGTATTCTTTAATATTGATCTTTCTTCCTTCCCTTATTTTAGGTACCATGATTTTACAAAGGGTTTGTTTACTTACTTATTTAAATTTTATTTCCATCACCATGGTTTAAAATACTGTTAGTGACATGGTTTTGTGCACACAATATTCCAATACTACGCTCTCCACCTGAGTGTCCACTTCTCTCTCTAACTGTCTCAGTGCTTCCCCATCAACTGATTCTCCCCTCAACCTTGGTAAGATCAGTTCTGTAGACAAGTTCTCATGTTATGCTACCTTTGACTGTATGTTATTTGCTGCTTACTATGTTTTTTTTTTATATCCCTGTGTGAGAGAGGTGATTCTGTGTCTGACTCTTTTTTTCTAACTTTACTCCGCATGATACTATGTAGATCCATTCACATAGCTGAAAATTGCATGACTTCATCTTTTCTTATAGTAAAGTAGAATTCCATTGTGCATACATACCACAGTTTCTTGATCTAGTCTTGGGCTCTGTTCTTGGGCTCTGGGGTTGTTTCCAGATTTTGGCTATTGTGAATAGTGCTGCAAGGAACAATGGAGTGCATAAGTCTTTTTGGGTTTTTATTTTCTTTCTTTCTTTTTTTCCCCAAATGTCTTTTTAGAATAGAGTATCCTTGGAGTCGATGTCCCAAAGTGGAATTCCTGAGTCATATGGAAACTCAGTTTTTAATTTTTTGAGGAATGCCTACTTTTCAAAAAGCTTGAACGAATCAACATTTCCTCTAGTGGAGGATGAGCATTTCTTTTTCCCCACATCCATGCCAATTCTTGTTGGTTTTGTTCTTTTTGATGTGTCTCATTGGTGTGAAGTGATAACTCATTGTTGTTGTTTTTTTTATTTTGCATTTCCCTGCTGGTAAGTGATGTAGAGCGTTTTCCATATACTTGTTAGCCATCTGTGGAGTAATAAAAAGAGCTGAGTAATGCAATAGGGATAGAATACCAGACCAATGGAATAGAATTGAGAACCCAGAGACAGATTCTCATGTATATAGACAGCTAGTTAGTCTTTGACAAAGGAGCTAAGAATATGAAGCTGAACTAGAAAAGCTCTTCAACAAGTGAATTAAAGACCTCAATATCAGATATCCATAAATTATCCATAAATTTCCATAAAATATCCATAAATTATATCAAAAAATATTGCAGGAATCTTCATGACATTGAATCTCTAGGTGTTTTCAATGATTTAAAACCACTGGCTAAACAAATGGATGAAAAGATAAACAAATGTGTCTACCTCAAATTAAGAAGCTTCTGCATCATTAAAGAAACAAAGATCAGAGAAGAAACTCCCCCCCCCCACAGTTGAAGAGAATATTTGCCCACAATTGATCTGACAATGAATTAAGATCCAAGATATATAAAGCATTTGTAAAATAATAAGAAAATAAAACAATCAAACCCATCAAAATGGAGACAAGAGATGAACTTTCTTCAATAAGACATACAGATAATCTGCTTAGTTTTTGCCCCTTTTGTTGGTAGAGCATCTTTTTCTTCATGGTTGGAGTAAACCCTTTATGTCTTGGGTACTATCTCTCTACAACATATGTTATAAATTTATCTTCCAGTTTCTTGACTGTCTTTGATTAGGGTGTTTTGACCAAGTTAAGCTTGGTACTTTTATTAAGTTTATCTTCTTTATTTTTTATCAGACTTAGAAAAAATGACTTTTCCATATAAATTTTGTATATTTGGTAGCAATGTTTTTGTAAAATTGATTTTCGCCTGTCTCTGGGGTACATATTCCTTCAAATTTTTTGATAATATAAGCTGAATACAATATTCTTGGTGAGGAATTTATTTTATTGAGGTTTTCTACTATATCTCTCCATTCTCTCTTTTTTAAATGCAGCAGATTTTATTTATTTTTTGCTTTTTGGGCCACACCTGGTGATGCTCAGGGGTTACTCCTGGCTTTGCACTCAGGAATCACTCCTGGCAGTGCTCAGGGAACCATATGGGGTGCTGGGAATCAAACCCAGGTTGGCCTCATGCAAGGCAAATACCCTACCTTCTCTGCTATCGCTCCAGCCCCGTCTCTCCATTCTCATCTGGCTCCTAAGTCTTAGTTGATCATCAGTGAGTCTTCTGGGCTTTCCTTTGTATGTAAGTTCCTTTTTGATCTTGCTCCTTTCAATGTTCTGTCTCTATCTTTGGATTTTTGTCTTTTTGAGTACAATGTGTCTTGGAGTTTTCTTAGTTGAATTTACTTTCACTGGACTCTTCAAGATCCCTTGGATCTCAGTGTATGTATTAGTATGTATAGTTTTCTGATCCTTTCTATTGAGATCGTTTGGAAACTTCTGTTGTTTTCTAGTGGTTCCCTCTATGTCATCTCCGCTTAAAGCTCCTTGATCAATTCAACTTCTTGAACAGCTCAATTGCTGTTGATCTGCTGTTCAGAGCTTCTATTGAATTTTTTTGCTTGTTTTATATCATCTACCATGCTTTTTGTTTCTTTTTTAAATTGAATCACCATGAATTACAAAGTCACAAAATTACTCTGACTAACTTAATTCAGCATGATACTCTCCAGATACATCCACATAGTAGCAAATTGCATGGCTTCAACTTTTCTTATGGCTGAGTAGTATTCCATTGTGTGTATGTGCTATTGTTCCTTTGAGTTCACTAAACATTCCCACAATGGTGTCACTAAAGTTATTGTGCTAGGACTTACTGAGCATGGTTGGAAGGGAGGGGAATCTAGTTACCTCCTTTCCGAAAAGTCCTCAGAGTTGTCTGCTGGGAGATGGAGCTACAAGGATGGAGCTACATGGAAGGGTGTGGTGGCAAGCAAAGGTTCAGGAGCTGTGAAGATGGGACAGTTGAAATAGAGGAGGTCAAGTATGGAGACTTCTGTTTTTATTTTAATCCAAGTTTAATTTTATGTAGTTCCTTTCGTTTGTTTTTGTTTTTACTGTCTTTGCCACTGGAATCAAATTGTAGAATGCTCTGAGGTCCCTCTCCTAGAAAGTTCTGCCTATGTATTTTCATCAATGTGTTTTATGAATTTGGGTGTAATTATGATGTCTTTAATGTCCTTTGAATAAACTTTTGCATGGTGTGAGATAGTAGATCCAATTTCACTTTTTTGTATGCAGTTATTATTTTTTCCTAGCTTTGTAACACTGGAATTAATAAAAACACAAAAATAAAAATATTAATTCAAAAAGATGTCTGAACACCTGTGTTCACTACAGTGCTTTATTCAATACTTAGAATATGGAAACAACCCACCCGTCCAACAATAAATGAATAGATAAAGAAGTTGAGGCATACACACTGTGTGTGCATGCATGTGCACACACACACACAAGAATACTATGCACCTGTAAGAACAGATGAAATCTTGTAGTTCACTGCAATTTAGTTGGAATTGGTGGGTGACAGATTAAATGAAATAAATCAGAGGGAGAGGGAAAAATACTGGGCGATCTTACTCATTTGTTGTATATAGATAAACAAAATAGGAGACTAGGCAGCAATTAATAATGACATCCTCTCTTCCCTGCATTACAAAGCTGAGATAACTAAGCTGAGGGAGAGTAAGTTGGAATGAGGAGACAGACTGGAAACAAGATGAATATATTGGTGGAGAGTATTTGAAACTCTGGGGTGATGAGTTCTGGTAACTGTATAATAAGACCATAATAGCTGAAGCTATTGTAAATATGTTACCTTAATAAAAATACTAATATTAAAAAAATAAAAATTTAAAATTCAGAGCACCTAAATATTTAATAAGAAAACAAAAATCCAGCATAAAGGAAAATATTTAAACAGGTAATTTAAAAAAGATGTATAACATAATTGAAACCCAAGCACAATACTTTGTAAGACTACAACTGTACCTCATGGTGTTTCACTAATAAAAATTAATAACAAAAAAAAGGGCCCCAGCAGCCGAAGACCTCCAGGACCAGCCACCACCATGCTGAGACCACTCTCCGCACACCTG